CCTGGCCCCCTGCCCTGGACCAGAGCCCTCATCACCCCAGGTCGACGTTACCATGACAGCTTTCAAGAGAGGCAACCGCCTCTCCCATCTCTCAGTCACCAGCACAGTCTTAGAACCCACTGCAGCCTTCTCCCTGGGACCCCACACCCAGCATGCCCACCTTTGAACTTCCAACACATCTCCCTCATTGGGTCGTGAAACTCTGAAGTGGCTCAAGGTCTCCATGTTTACCGAAGGTCTGCAACGTACCAGGGAGCTGGCCTCCGCCACCCAGCTGGAGACGTAGCATGGGCTGTCTCGGTGCGTATTTTGTCTCCAGCCAAGACAGGCCATGACTTTCATGTCTCAATGCCAAGCACCAAGAGTGCCTGGCCCCAAGTGCCCTGTGCGTGTCAGCCGATCAGATGGGTGGCCGGGACCAGCACTCCCACAGGGACAGCTCGGGACTCGTCCCTCTACTTTAAGGTATTCAGAGAAGAAAATGTGCACAGGCTTCTTCCATTTCTAGAAAGACACCATCTCCCTGGCAGGAAATCCTGGCCTTCGAGAAGATGGTATAAAGGCAGGACTAGGGTTAGGGACTGAGGGGCACATGGTGAGCGTGTGGGAGGAGGCGGAGGGCAGAGGGCAGAGCTGCCCCCAGCAGCAGGAGCAGGTAGACACAGCTCACCGGGCAGGCGGATCCCACCACAGTGAACCGGAGCTCGGGAAGGCAGGGACTGTGTCCCTCCCAGTCACCACCCCGAGCCCCAGTGCCCAGCACTGGCATTGCCCGGGCACCGCGAGGCATCCCCACCCATATCTGTGCCAGCCGCATACGTGCTGGAAGCAGATAAGGAATTTTGCATGGTATTGTCAGGGGAGCTGCACGAGTAATGGACAATTAGGGGGGCTCCACCACCCCAGTGAACTTTACAAACCACCCTCCTTACCTGACTTCAGCACAGAGAGACACCGTTGTCACTTCCCTCTGGGATATAAATGCCCAACTTTCCCTTTTCTGTGCAGAATGATCCCAGTGCTTTCACCGATAGCCCAGGGCTCCCTGTTCTCGCCCTGCAGTCGCCTCCTTGGGAAGCAGAGCTGCGGAGCCCGCGCCCAGTGACACTCTAGGCGCCTGTGGGACAGGCAGGGGCTGCAGGCACTGGCCCCCACTCCCCGTGGCCCTTTTACAGCTGCAGACCTGCTGACTCAGCTGATCTGATGTGTGCACAGCGCGGTTATCTCCCCCGGACTTTGCACAGCAAACTGAACATGTCGACCGCAGAGATACAGCGCTGAAACGATCGGTGTTCGAGCCCCACCTAAGCAAAGGGAGTCCAGGACGAGGGGCGAATGATGGCCCCGCCAGCACCCCCGGAGCATCACCCAGGAAGAGGGGGGCAAAGCAACAGATTCAAAGAGAAATTTAAAAACTATCTCTTGCATTCTCACTAAGATAACAAGAACATTCGTACTTGGCTCAAGGAGGGCGCCTTAGAGCATCTGATCTCAGATTACGAACAGGCTTTACTGCACTGTGTTAATTTGTCACCTAGTAATAGCCCTTTATTTAATATCCGGTATTAAAGGCGCACAGAGAAAGGTGTCCTAGATCAGCCCGAGGTAAGAGCAGGTGTTGACTGTCTGCAGGTGGGTTTTCAAGGGATGTAATAAGCCACGGTACATGCAAAATCCACCCACTAAGCTCATTGAACTTGACTTTCCTTTTCACTTATTTAAGGCAAGAATAAGAGTAGGCCTTGCCCTAACTCACACTGCAGTTGTGAGGATTAGAATCTGTGGCCGCAGAATTCCCTCCCGGTCTGTCCCTGGGTGTGTTGCACGCCCCTTCCCCATCCTGTCCCCTCTCAGCACCTGCTGTCAGCTTCAAGCCTTCATACTGTTACGGCCAGTGTTAGTGACCGGTCCCAGGGGAATAACCGAGCGGCACGCAGAGAGTTGGAGGGTCAGAAAGTTTAACTGCCAGCAGCCCAGACCGAGGTCAAGCCTCCAAAAATCTCAGCACCTCTTCCGGGTTTTTGTCAGGTTTTATACTTTTTTTGGGGGGTTAGTCTTAACAAATCACACACAAGTATAAATGATTAACCAATTAGCAAAAAGATTTAAAAGTTATCCAATAAATAATAATTCTTACAAGCAGTATAATTATGATAGGCTTATAACAAACAGTATAGTTATGATAGGTTTATAACAAATAGTATAGTTATGACAGGCTTATAACTCTGCTTCATTGTTTTGTGGTTTTAGCTTGCAAGGCTGACAGGTGTCAGCGTCTGCTTTAGCTGCTTTGCGGTTTTAAGCAAAACTGGCATGGAAATTCCCCAACATTCCCCCCTTTTGATGCCTTTAAAGCTATACAATGGCATCAACTTTAATAGGGTAGCTGTGCAGGTCATCGCCTGGGTGGTGACCGCTGCTCGAGCAAGTTTTTGAAGGCGTTGTTTGAGAAACTGTATTAGACAATGGGCTAAAAGACAGAATGACCTGACTGTTATAACAGGTCCTAAGAGGGGCAGTAACCATATGATTAGGGGAGACTGAAACCATGCCACAAATGAAGTTTTATCTTGATAATAGCCTTGTAGCTCTTTTTTAATATTATTTAACTGTTGTATGTTTTTTAACCAGCCCAGATCTATTGACATAGTAACAGCATTTTTTTTTTTAGAAAAACACACATCCCCTTTGCTACCCCCCCAGTTGCTAAGGATGTGGTTAGAGTGAGCCCGAGCATAAGTGAAGAAACACTGTTTTTTTGGTTTTTTTTTTGCTCCGGGTATTTTTTAACACAGCAGTTTTTGTAATTTTCCTTGGCTGTAAAGCATTACCTGAGGGACTAATACCACTGGGAAGCACGCACCCGTGTACGTTTCACTGATACACCGGGTAAGTGTCTGGTTACACCAGAAGTAAGTTTTTTATCAGAGCATATAGTCTGGCTCACTGTTTGATTGATCTGGCAATGTCTGAGGTTATCAGAGCTTGGAGGGGTTTTATAGAGATGGCTGTCATATAAGGGTTTAAGGACTCCTGTCTGTCATTGTTGGTGTTCTGGGTCTCTTATTTTAAGTATGTAGGGGCCCCCTTCCTGTTTTGAAGGTGAGGGCTCCAACAACTCCAACAATGACTAGTATATAAAGAGACATCTTGTTAAGACCCAGTAAAGTACAGTTATAACAATTTTGTCGATCTTAGTCCTTTGGGGCTCCGGCCCCGAGTCCAAGTCCCAGTAAGAATGTTACTAGTCCAGTAAGAGTCCAGCCCAGTGGGCTCATTCAGTCTGGCGTCTCTGGTGGTTCCTGTTGGTCTTGTCGGGCTGGTGCTTGAGTTGGATCTTTAGTGGGTCTTGGGGGTCCGGTTGTCCTGTCCTCTAGTTGAACTTTGCCCTCTTCACTCGGGAGTGGTGGATCCACGGCACTAGACCTGCAACCTTAACAGCAGTGGGGGTGACTAGTATGACGGTATGAGGCCCTGTCCAGGTAGGTTTTAAAGGCATCTTTTTTCAGTCTTTTACCCAGACTAGGTCTTCGGACTCATGGGAGTGGACAGGGGCTCCCAAGGGGACCGGGCTTCTTTCTAGTACAGTTTGATGAATGTGGGCTAGAGTCTTAGACAGAACCTGGAGGTGTTTGTCTAAGTGTAGTTTCCCTAGCTGTTTAATATTTCTCTTTAACTGTTTAATGAGAGGGGGTGGTCTACCATATAAGATTTCAAATGGTGAGTACCCGGTAAGGCTGGGAGTACATCTAACCCGCAATAGGGCTAAACTTAGCATATCTATTCATGATAACTGTGTCTCTTGACATAGTTTTGCAAGCGTAGACTTGAGGGTTCGGTTCATGTGTTCTACTCTTCCTGAGCTTTGTGGCCTGTAAGCTGTATGCAGCTTCCACTGAACTCTGAGTGCTTTAGAAAGAAGTTGTGTAATTTCTGCAGTAAAACTTGGTCCGTTGTCACTGCCAATGGAGAGAGGCAGTCCATATCAAGGGATGATTTTTCTTAGCAGGAGTTTTGCTATTTTTCTGGCTTTTTCAGTCCGGGTTAGAATTGCCTTAACCCATCCGGAGAAAGTGTATATCAGTACTAGCAAATATTTGTATCCCTGGCTAGGCTTGACTTCTGTGAAGTTTATTTTTATGTCTTTAAAAGGGGATACCTCGGTGTACTGGATTCCTGGAGCTGGCTTTGGCTTGGTAGCTGTATTGTTTTGGCACAAGTTTGACATCTGGTGGTAACAGTCATTGCTATAGATGGAAGCTTGGCTATGTAGTAATAGCGGGTGAGCAGTTCTGTGAGAGCTGTTTTTCCCAGGTGAGTTAAGTTGTGGTACCGGGAGACAACAGGATAGGCCACTTTACTGGGAACAAAGATTCTGTGGGTAGGCAGGTGCCACCATCCGTCCGTGTCTTTGTTAGCCTGTTCGAGTTTTGTCCATTGGTCTTCTTCTGCTGTATACTGGGACTCCTTGGGCCATTCGGGTGCTAACAAGATCTGGCTCTGTGTGGCACTGTCTTCTGGAGGTTCCATTGCGGTTGCTTGTTTTGCTGTTTGATCTGCCAGGTGGTTGCCAACGGTGACCAAGTCTGTGCCCTTGTGGTGGCCTCTGCAATGGATGACTGCAACTTTTTTTTTTTTGGCTCCCACACCGCTTCCAGTAACTGTAGAATTTTACTTTTGTTTTTGATTTCTTTTCCCCCTGCAGTAAGCAGTCTTCTTTCTTTGTATATTGTCCCATGAACATGCACCGTGGCAAAAGCATATTTAGAGTCTGTGTATATGTTGACCTTTTTGTCTTGGGTGTACTTGAGAGCCTGGATTAGGGCCCACAGTTCTGCTCTCTGTGCAGACCAGCCTTGAGGCAGCGGGGCTGACTCGATAAGCTCATCTGCTGTGGTGGCAGCGTAGCCAGCAAGGCGTTTACCTTCCTGGATAAAGCTGCTTCCGTCCGTGAAGAGGTTTAAGTCTGGTGCCAGTAGCGGGCTGTCTCTTAGGTCTGGCAGACTAGTGTAGACTTCTTCCATGACTTCGGCACAGTCGTGGTCTGGGGACCCTGGCTCAGTGGGCAAGAAAATGACAGGGTTTAAGGTCCGTACAGTTTCAACAGTGACTTGTGGGTTTTCACACAGTAGTCCTTGGTACTGTGCCAGTCGGCTGCTGGAGAGCCATCGGTGTCCTGAAGCGTTCATCAGGGAGACCACCGCATGGGGAACTTTTACGTTGATGTTTTGTTTAAGCATAAGTTTGTCTGCTTCTTTGACTAGCAGGCTGGTGGCTGCTAGCGCCCGGAGGCAAGGGGGCCAACCCAAGGCTACTGAGTCTAACTGCTTTGACAAGTAAGCCACTGGTCTCTGCCAAGGTCCCACTGTTCGTGTTAAGATTCCCAGTGCTACTTGTTTCTTTTCATGCACAAACAGGTTAAAGTCTTTGGTGAGGTCTGGCAAGCCTAAGGCGGGGGCCCTTTTAAGCAAGTCTTTTATTTCTTGGAAAGCTTCTTCTTGAGTTTCAGTCCATTCCAGTTCTTGGTTTTCGGGCTCACGCAGGGCCCCGTATAGCGGTTTGGCTTTCAGGGAAAAGCCTAGTATCCAGATGCGTCAGAACCCAGCCGCGCTGAGAAACTCTCGGAGTTGTCGCCGCTTGGTCGGTCTGGGGATGGCACAGATGGTGTGTTTGCGTTCACGCCCCAGTGTGCGGCGTCCGTGTGAGATGTGGAAACCAAGATATTTTACTTGTTGTCTACAGATCTGCGCTTTCTTCCAAGAGACTTTATATCCTTTATCTGTGAGTAGCTGGAGAAGGCACTGTGTCCCCTGCTCACAGTCCTCTTTGGTGGTGCTGGCTAAGAGGAGGTTATCAACATACTCTAGCAGTGTGCACCGGGTCTCTTCTCTTGGGTAGAAGGTGAGATCTGTTGCCAGAACTTCTCCGAACAGAGTTGGTGAGGTTTTAAATCCTTGCGGTAGCCGCGTCCAGGTGAGCTGAGTTTTCCTTCCAGTCTGGGGGTCTTCCCACTTGAAAGCAAACAGGGGCTGGCTTTTTGGAGTGAGCCACAGGCAGAAGAAAGCATCTTTTAGGTCTAGACAAGAGAACCAGGCTGCACTGGGGGGACTCTTCTGGCTTTTGGGTGATCAGGGCCACTTTGTTTGTGTTGGTTGGCTTTTTGGCT